TTCACACACACCCCTCCCCCACTGTGTGGCTAATATCAGGGAAGATCTCTATCAGCCAAACGCAAACAGCTCAGCATGAACGGGCCTCCCCCCACCGCATGGCTAACAGCGGGGATGATTTATTTTCAGCCAAAGGCAAACAGCCAAGCAGGAACAGGCACCTCTGAATGTCCCCTTAAACAAATTTCCTGTATTTCAACCAGGTGACCATGAATGATATCACTCCCCTGAGGCTAATACAGAGAGATAAAGAACGGATGTTGCTTGAATGCCACCAAAGCCCGGGCCCATTCGCTGCAAGGTTTTGTTTTGCAATGATTCCAGACTATTTGCTACTGGCTTGGCGTGGTAAATTAATCATTAAACACGCTTGCTTTTAAACCCAGTATTATATTTACAAAGGTACACTCACCAGAGGTGCCTTCTCTGGCTTCACGGTCCGGGAGCCCGCCTTGGGAGGGTATTGGCTCCAGGGTGATGAACAGTTCCTGGCTGCCGGGGAGAAGGGATTCTCCGCTTGCCTGCTGTGCGCTATCCTCAACCTCCTCCTCATCTTCAAACTCCTCACCCCTGTTGCACGAGACTCCCCCCCCTTGCAGGTGTCCATGGACAGTGGTGGGGTAGTGGTAGGGGCCACCCTTAGAATTGCATGCAGCTCATCATAGAACCAGCATGTATGGGGCTTTGACCCGGAGCGACCGTTTGCATCCTTTATTTTTTGGTAGGCTTGCCTCAGCTCCTTAACTTTCACGCGGCACTGCTGTGTGTCCCTGTTGTAGCCTCTGTCCATCATGCCCTTGGAGATTTTGGCAAATATGGTCGCCTGTGCTGATGAGCTCTGCATGGTCACCTGTGCTGATCAGCTCGCCACGCTGGCCAAACAGGAAATGAAATTCAAAAGTTCCCGGGGCTTTTCCTGTCTACCTGACCAATGCATCTGAGTTGAGAGTGAGTCCAGAGCGGTCACAATGGAGTACTCTGGGATAGCTCCTGGAGGCCAATACCGTTGAATTGTATCCACACTACCCCAAATTCGACCCAGCGAGATCGATTTTTAGCGCTAAACCCCTCGCCGGGGAGGAGTACAGAAATCGATTTTAAGAGCTCTTTAAGTTGACAAAATAGGCTTGGTCGTGTGGACGGGTGCAGAGTTAAATCGACCTAACGCTGCTAAATTCGACCTAAACTCGTAGTGTAGACCAGGGCTAAGGTGCCACAAGTACTCCTCGTTCTTTTTGAGTCCTCTTTGTTCCCCTTTTTATAAACACATTATTTTTGCCCTTCTCCAGTCCTCTAGGACTTCAACTGTCCTGCATGTGTTCTAAAAATAATTGCTAACATTTCTGAGATTGCTTCAGCTAGTTCCTCATGTACTCTAGGATGAATTCCATCAGGCCCTGCTGACTTGAATACATCTAACTTATCTAAATATTGTTTAAGCTATTTTCCCCCAATTCTGGATTGTGTTCCTTCCCCCTTGTTGTTAATAATAATTGTGTTGAGTATCTAGGTTACCATTAACCTTTTTAGTGAAGACTGAAGCAAAATAGGTACTGAACACTTCAGCCATCTTAATGTCATCAGTTATTAGCTCTCCTTACCCACTAGCTAGAGGACCGACATTTTCTGTCGTCTTTTTCTTGCTTCTCTTGTATTTAAAAGAATTTAAAAGAATAAGAACCTATTCTTATTGTCTTTTATGTCCCTTGGTACATGTAATTCATTTTGTGCCTCAGCCTTTCTGAATTTGTCCCTACATGCTTGTGCTATTCTTTTGTACTCCTCCTTAGCAATTCAGCCATATTTCCAATTTTTGTAGGATTCCTTTTTGATTTTCTTTTCCTTAGCCTCCTAGTGTAGCCACATTGGCCTCTTACTATTCTTCCTATCTTTCCTTCTCATCGGGATAATTTGCAGTTATGCCTTTAATAATGTCTCCTTGACAAAATACCAGCTCTCCTGAACTTTTTCCCTTAGATTTTCTTCCCATGTGATCTTATCTACCAGTTCTCTGAGTGCTTTTTTGAAGTCCATTGTCCTTATTCTGCTGCTCTCACTCCTTCCTTTTCTTCAAACAATGAAATCTATCATTTCATGGTCACTTTCAGATTCATTACCAATTCTTCCCTGTTGGTCAGAATCAAGTCTAAAAGGGCTGTCCTCCTGGTTACTTTCTCCACTTTCTAAAACAAAAAGTTGTCCCCAATACACGCCAAGAACTTATTGGAAATTTTGCATTTTTCCGTATTACTTTTCCAACAGATGTTTGGGTAGTGAAAGTCACCCATTACTACAAGGTCTTGTGTTTTGGATATTTCTGTTATTTGTTTCAGAAGTGCCTCATCCACCTGATTTGGTATTCTATAGTTAGACCCCTACCATGATATCACCTGTTTTTTCCCTTTTATCTTTACCCAGAGGCTTTTAACTGGTCTGCCTCTGACCTCCTTCTGGACCTCAGAACAAGCGTATATATTCTTGTATATATTTTACTCCCTTTTTCTTCTGCCTCTACTTCCTGATCAAGCCATCCCCATCTATGCCAATATTCCAGTTATGAGTCTTATCTCACTTAGGCCTGGTCTACACTGGAGGGGTAGGGGGGATGATCGACCTAAGATACGCAACTTCAGCCACGAGAATAGCGTAGCTGAAGTCGACTTACCTCGTGTTCTCACGGCGCGCGGTCGACTGCCGCCGCTCCTCCGTCAACTCCGCTTCCGCCTCTCACCGTGGTGGAGTACAGGAGTCGACGGAAGAGCGATCGGGGATCGATTTATCGCGTCTACACTAGACGCGATAAATCGATCCCCAATAGATCGATCACTACCCGCCGATCTGGTGGGTAGTGTAGACGTACCCTAAGCATCTAACCCTCACATGCTAACAAACGATCTCTCTAAATAGTCTCCCTCATAACTAGGAAAGAGCTATCAACTAACCAGAAGAATACTAAAATTTATCTTAATCTCTCTACAATATTCAAGCTTCCCCAAACTCCACATACATCTTAACTACAAAGTTAGTTTCCAAGCCCTTAGTAGAGTTCAAACACTGAACTCAAATTATTTTAGCATCAGCTGTTCACTCTTGTGACACATACATCCCTACCTCCCGCTCTAAAGACAAGACATATGCTTTGCTCCCTCCATTACTTCCAAGATGACTCTTTGATAGTCTTGAAAAGAAAACCATTAAGATTCTTCAGACTGATATGATATCAACTAGAAGGGTCACGTACTTGGACTTACATTTATAGTAAACAGAAAATTGCCCTCCTACCCTCTGCCAAATCAAGTGCCATTCATCTTCTGGATTAGAGTTCTGAAGGCTTTGAACTGCATTCTATGACAAAAATCCATTATAAGCATCAGGATAGAGAACTTCACTATGATAGATAGATGAACATCCCCCATCAGTTTCTTCTTGCTGGTTTCAGAAAGTGAATGAAAGTAGAAAGAAAACTCTCTAAAAACAGCTGAATTCATGTTGTAATAAATGGACATACAAATTTATCCTAATTGTAAGCTCAACTTGTGAAAAGTGGATAAAGGTTCATGAATTGTCACAATGAGCTATTATATAAAACTGTTTAAGAAAAGATGTGAAAAGGAGAGAGAAAGACTGAGTTAATTTAAACAAAATATTTACTGATATAATCTTAACACAGTCTTTGAATTTAACTGGTGAACAAGAGGACCAGAAAATAATGAGATGGGCTGTTTCATTCATCACTCCTTTTTGAAGGCCTTAAAAAGATACTTTCAGGAAGAACAGTGAGAAGAACTTTTTATCACCACTGCTGCTGTGATGGAAGGATTGTTGCCATGACGTCAGACCTTGATATTCCATGATTGCTGCATCAGAAAAGATGCCAACCTTAGATCCCGCTGTCTTCTCCTCCCTCAGGTGCCCCTTTTTGCTCCTTATCTTCCTCCTGTCCTACCTCTATCCTGCTCTCTCTCAGTTTTTAACTGGATCCTGAAATCAGCCGTACTGCACAGTGCCAGCACAGTGGGATGAGATGGTCCATTCAGCTCTGCTCAGCCTGAGGACCAGGGAAGGAAAGGGACCTGACCAGACCAGTCAGATGATGTCCCTGACGAGGTTGGTGAGCTGGCGTCCACAGTCACAGCTGTCATGATCAACTTACCAACCCAAAGCATCCCATCCGTGACTGAGCAGCCACCCTATATCCTGAGATCATCAAAATCCATATTTCCCCCATCTTTACTGTCCTATTTATTCTCTCCCTTCTGTGTCTGTCTGTTTTGTCTAAGGCAGGAAAACGGCTATCATTCTCAATTCAGAACTGAACAGCAGAACTTTCTCCTCGACCAGAAAGGACTGTTAGACTGCATAAGAGACTTTAACCAATATTCACTGTCCCCAGAAAGGACTTTGATAGGTTTTGATTAAGTTTGTTTTGGATAAACAATCAATTTAAGTTCTAATGCTTTTTACCTTGTTTTATTTTCCTTTTGTGTGTTTCAATCAACAAATTTCTTAATCTTGGTCTGAGTTTTATAATGTGTTTGGCACGGTATTAAGCAGGCTGAGGACTCTGTATATCAATCCCCAGACCTTGTTTAACACTGTTTAACATTGGACAGTAATTGAGTTGTGCTAACACCTTTATCCTCTATAGTGCATCTAAATTAATACAACAGCTCTCACTAGCTCCTAAGAAATATCCCACGAGGAAAAGATATATACAGTGGGCTCTAGAATTTACCAATCACACATCTTTGCCACACAAAGATATGCTCAAAGAGTGGTTATTTATGGTCTATAGTAATTTTTAAGAGACTTAAAAAATTCTAATTTTTTTAAAATAAGAGAACAATTTTCATGAACCATTCTAATGAGCTAAGATCATATATATGATACTTCAGAAACAAGTTATTTCATGTGAATCTAAAAATACTTTTAAAAACACTGAAAGCAAGTTTAAAATATACTAGATTACACCAATATCCAATATATTAATAAAAACTTACCCTTCTTTCTATGTGAGGATGCCAAATCCAAATCAACATTTCGTCTTCCACTCTAGATTTAAAAGAATTAATACAAAACCTCATTTCTCTTTTTAACTGTACAACAAAAAAGTATCTCAAGATTTAGGCTTTCTTAAAGCTTTTCAGTACTAAGTGAAATGAGACAAAGCAAAGCATTTTATTTTAGTTAAAACAATCTGAGTTTTTAATAACATGACAGAGAACAGAGCACATTTCTGAAGAAATAATTACTGTAACTGTCATAACTTAAAAAAAATAGGGAAAGACTCTTAACAAAACTTCATGATCCACATGAGTATGTTAGTCTGTAAGACGTAAATCTAAAAAACATGTTCCTCAGAATACTCCAGTTCTTCATTTAACAAGATTTCTAAGCCTTTGGGGGGAAAAAAACTGTAGGGCATAGCTTTGGCTGTGTAAATGCTGCTCACGAATAAGACTCCGTATTTGTCACAGAGGTCACGGAAGTCACGGATTCTGTGACTTTCCGTGACTTCTGCAGTGGCTAGTGTGCCAGGCCTGGGGGCCGCCTGAGCAACTCTCAGCCCGCCCAGCCCCACCCCGCCAACCCTCCTCCCAGGCTGCGCCCCCAAGCACCCCCCCCCCAAGTTTTAGTCAGCGGTATATAGTAAAAATCATGAACAGGTCATGGGCCATGAATTTCTGTTTACTGCCCGTGACCTGTCCATGACTTTTAATAAAAATACCCATGACTAAAATGTAGCCTTACTCATGAACAACAATGAAACAACCTAAACTAACCTATAATCATTTTTAAGTTCATTTTTGTGCAATCATTTGTTTCCCCAATAGCAATGCAGGTGGTTTGCAGTGGTCTCCTCTGTATATCCACTGCAAATTCACAATGTTTCTAAGCAAAATGGCACGTTTAAGATATCTTTCATATCTGAAAAAATATAGATGTAAGACTGAAACTGTATAAAACATCAAGTTAGTTTTACCTACCAGTGAGTAACCCTCTTCATCTGATTCAGGCTGAGATAAATCAGATTCACTCCTCGATTTGATCAGCCTATAGTTTGAACTAGAGTGGGTTGAACGACTCTCTGCAGTAAGACTTTCACTCCTGCCTCACAAACATACACATATAAAAGAGAAAATTATTTCACAAATGCTCTTTGTAGAATACAAAACTAAAGTAAATTATCAGTCATAAGTTGTTGTACAAAGTCTCTGCTACAAATATTAATTTCAGGGCATAATATTCAAAAACTAAACTTTGTATATAAACATAAAAAGTGTGTATACTACCTACCTGTATCACCATTAATGTTTATATCAGACAAAAGTAAGCACTGATAGTCAAATATTGATTCAGCTGGCAACACAGCTTTATTTGGGAGAAGTCTAACCAGGATTGTCTCAAGGCCAAAAGGGGACAGGAATAAGATGTGAAAGGGCTTGCAAGTGTTTACTAATACCCTCTATTAGCATACATTATTGCTCCTCAGCACTCTTACTGGTCAGCAGATGTGATAGCAGCCTGAGATGACTGATTTCCCTGAGTTCTTCGGTAAGTGTTACATACAGTAATGTTCAGTATGCAGAAACACTTCGATTTCTAGCGGAGGGGACATGGCAACAGACAAGGAAAGGCACTATATTCTTTTAAGACCCACCCATTAAGTGAATCCTAAGGTCAATATGCTGAAGATGAAAGCCACTTTGACACCATCACCAGACACAGCTGCCCATGTTTTGATGGCTGGACTCCAAGCAAATAGTCAAAAAGAATAAAAATGGAACTGAAATTAAAAAGTCTTCCTTATAAATTTCTATTAAAATTTCAGTTTAAATACAGTTTAAATGTGAAACAGTCTAAGAAAAGCTAAAAACACTGAGAAGCTTTCAGTATAACTCTACTGAGCAGTGTGACAGATGTTAAAAAGGACAAAATCAAGATAGATTAAAAAAACCTACATCTGTGTTACTAGCAATACCTTAGATTATTAAAATTAAATATTTTTTTAAATACACTTGACTATCAGAATTTATACTGTTTACGTCACACGCTGTTTCACTCCAATTTAGACAATGAAACTAGTTGCCTTCCTTTCTGGTTTTCATGCATCTGGCTAACAAAGTTCTTTGTTTTCCAGGAAATATTTAGTTCTTTTTTTTTTTAAATTATGAAAAACATTTCTATTCATATTAGGTTTTTAGGGCCTGTCCATGTTATTACTCTTTTAAAACCCCACATTTTGGGTATAAGCAGTGTAATCTTTAACTAACACTATATGTAAAACCCTAATACATATAACAATTATAAACAAAGAACAAAACAAAAACTCTTGTCAAACTAATGAAAATATGAATTTTTCAACAAATCAAATTATTTTAAATCCTAGATGATCTGGGTTTCATTATGATGAGTCCACACAGCTATACTCAATTTCAAAAAATCAAGCTGTTTCAAGTATATCATACTATATCTAGGTTGCCCGTATCATGTTGGGTTCTTTTATGAAAAATTGAGAGACACCACTTTCCCTCTGAACCTAAACATCAGTGTTGTTTTATCTAAACCCTTGAATTCTTTTTCTTTGTTGTCATATCCTGAGTTTATCTTCAAGAGTTATCAACTAAATTTTAACAAATATTTTTAGAAAGAAGTAGAGGAAAATTAACTATTTTAAAATTCATTAAGTTAATGAATCCCACCTAGTCATGAGTCCAATCCCTTCAGGTGTACTAGTTGAAGTTTGCTGCAACTGTCCTTCCTCCCTTCGTTTTTGGAGCTCTTCAATAACAGGGCTTACTCCTAAGATCAACAAGGCACATCTATGGATCACAGAGTTGCATGCAGCAGTGTACACATCTTGACCCTCCGGAAGATCTGTGCTAACTCTTCGTTCCTGTTGGGACTGAGGAGGCTGATCATCAACTCTAGTCCCATTTCCAGTGTTCATCCTATCTCGATCCCGACTGCGAGCTACTTCACGGGCTGATAGGAAACATTGAAATATTTCTGTAACATGCAACACAAAAACAAGGTCTTAACGTCTAGGCAAAGCTAAATTATAATAAAATCGTCATCTTCAGTTTAGGCCAAACATTGGCATTGACAAGTGGAAAATATAACAATTTTTTCCTAACAGTAAAAAAAAAGGATCCATTAACAAGTAAAAATCTATAAAACAAGTTAACAAATATAGACTAATTACTTAGTCTAGCATCTACTATGTTAAATTTAAAATGAAGGGAATAGTAAAATCTGGCATGCTGCTAAACAATTCCTTCAGCAGTGCACTGCAATCTAATTATTTAAAACGGAGCAAGAAAGGGAATGATCAAAATTCTTTCATTCCGCTGAATACCTTCAAAGAGCCAGAATAAACAGGAAAGCTTGTACACTGCCATTTAAAAACTCACATTTTATTTTTTTAAGGTGAAAACACATCCCATATAACAATGATCAGAGCAGGCACTGGCAGTGTGCTATTCCTTGGATGCATTGTGCTTATGATAAACAAACAGCTGAAACCTCCTAGAGAACAAAATCTGTTTATATGGTACTGTATAAGGATGGCCTGGGATTATAATGTTCGGGTCAGGAAATAAGGAACAAATGCTACCAAGTAAAAGTAATAACTGGCTTTTTAAGCATGCTAGCTTCTGACTAGAACACTGTCCATCAGTGGCAGTGCAGGGTTAGCTATGTCCCTTAGAAGAGCATGACAATTAGAGAAAATGCTTCCAACTAAATATTTATAATTCTTACAATAAACTGGTGAAACTTACTGCAGAGCATACATCCTACTCAAATTCCAAATTCCAATACACACCAAATTGCAGCCTAACCAAACAAGTGCTGGTTGGTCAACATCTGTGTACTTGAATTCTTGGAGAAAAGAAATTTTCAGTAAGAAAGAAACTTTCCAATTTTCAATCAAATCTAGATCCACAGACCAATCAATGGGATTTGTGTAGCAGTATGCACCTGGGGGATATGCAGTCATGCAGAAGAACTGGTGTTGGCAGTGGGGTAGCCTGTAAAATCTTCTCGAGGTCATTTGATTTTTGGTCTGTTCATTTCCTCTGGAGAAATGGCTTTCCCTTCAGTCATATCTCTATTTCAGTGGGAGACACAAAAGGACTATTTTCTTCTCCCATATTGTCTGTAGCAGTTCCAGCATCATTTGGCAGATGCCAATTTCTTTTTGGATTTCCTCTTCAGAGGTCACTTTGCTACGGTCTTCTCAAACAATCTTTCTCCCAAATATTTAAGAGTTTTTGCCTGAATATCACCACTCCAGAATTGAAGACAACAGTGTCTGAGTAAGAGAGGTGAAACCCAGAGCTCCGACAAAAAAATCTGAAAGAGTTGAGCAATGCTTCGGAAACAAAAACTGCTACTGGAATTATCTTACAGAGAGAGACCACCTGACTATAACAATTCCTGATCTTCAGGAATACATCAGTCCATGCTAATATTGTTTGGGTAGAGCATGCTAATATTGTTTGGGTAGATACACACGAAGCTGTCAAGATGCTTCAAAATTCCTCTGGAGACATGAATCCACTTCCCCCACTCCCTTTCAGAAGGGACTGTGGCTCCTTTACCACAGAAGAAAGAAATTTAGGTAGCTAGCAGGTTTTGAATTACTTTACCTGGTAATAATTTTCAGGTCATCTCTCCTAATCATCTGGGATGAGCTGGCTATTCACATTCTTTCCTATCACATCTCTAGAGCTGTGTGGACTGAGACCAAAATCTCAGATTTGTCTCCAGAGAGGAAATACTACTCTGTGGTCTCACTTTCCTCCATAAGCTTGGTCCTTTTCATAGTCCAAGCTCCGTGTTTTGAAGGTTCTTTTAATGGGAAGTCTAGCAATTACAGGGCTTTTTTTATTTTAAAACCAAGAAGAATCCTAATCTGTCTACCTGTGCTGTGGGAGCAAAACAAAAACAAGTAGGTTCTTCTAAGGGAAATGATGGGCCCAGTCTAGTTCTATATCCCTCTACTGTGCAAGCTGGAAGACCCTGTTGGTGGGTCTATGGCTCTGGGTTTGGTAGCAAATGGGGTCTCTTTATAGCTTCAGCCTGATTCTAGGAAAACAAGCCTAGGCATTTGTTAGCTTTGGGTCACTGGGAAGAATCTTCTACCAAACGTTTTGCAGGCCTCTCAGTCATTACAAATCAACAGAAATTAGAAAACAGTCTTATCCAAGACCCGGCCCCCAAGCAAAGTTAAGTCCTGGAGCAGAAATGAAGCAGTTTTCTATGCAGGTTCTCCTTACCCCTTGGTCAGGGTAGCCCTGGCAGGCTCCTCCCTGAGGAGAGGGGAATAAGTCACTAGCATAGAGCATATTGGGAATGTCACACTGATATGGAAACTAGCCCCTAAATATCCAAGGTGGGGGGAGGGATAGCTCAGTGGTTTGAGCATTGGCCTGCTAAACCCAGGGTTGTGAGTTCAATCCTTGAGGGGGCCATTTAGGGATCTGGGGCAAAAATCTGTCCGGGAATTGGTCCTGCTTTAAGCAGGGGGTTGGACTAGATGACCTCCTGAGGGCCCTTCCAACCCTGGTATTCTATTATTCTAATATGGTTAGATGTGGCTTCATCAAAGGAGGAAAAAACACAATATTTTAATTAACAGGCTGAATATCCCTTTTAGCCTGGGTACAAGACCCAATTCTGCAAAAACTACCAAAGTTGAAGGAATTTGGCAATTTTCTTTGCAAGCCATATTTAAATATCAGCAATTACAAATTATCTAGACAGTCCATGAAGTTTACAGGTGGTGGTGCAAATATGAAGTGCACTGAAAAACATACATTAGTAATTATTACAAAGGTCTGATTAAGCAGGCATTCAACAACATCAGTAAATTCCAAACCAATCCAATGTTAGCAACAATAAATTTTATTCCAAACTCTAGAATAAGAGATATTTAAAATCAATCTGTTACTACATACATATACATATAGAAAGTATATTGTATACGCACACACACACACACACACTTATTAAAAAGTGCAGAATATTTCTTATATTTTGACCCAATGAATACACTAAAATTTTACACAAATAAACTCAATGACATTTTGGATGTCTGAAGTAAAAACTTCTAGATTAATTTTTAATTTGTCCTTTGTTAAACAAATGTACAGTCCTTTCTAGAAACCATGAAATTGCATTCCTACATTTAATGTCTACTTACTTCCGGCTGTCATGACTTCATGCTCTCTTTCCTCCTCTTCATCTTCTTGTTCTGGATGCCCCTCTTCTCTGTCTCTCTCTGCCTGCTCCTCCATTTCAGCTTCTTCATCAATGGTCCGAGTAAAAGAATGCTCTTGGGGATCAATATCTGCAGACTCCTGGTTTTCTGACATCTAGACAAAGTTGTTTAAGTTACATGGTGAAATCACTTCTCACCAAATGAAAAACTGTAATGTTGAAAAAATATTAAACAAAAAAATTATTTTCCTATGAGAAGGCATTAATTGGTATATTGAGTTGGACAAACATCAAAGGCAGAAAACTACTTTAATGCCATATTATGGCAAAGACTTTAAATACATACAAGTTAGGAAATTGAGAGTGATGCTTTCTATAGAAACTGTTACTTAGCTCTTTTATATATATGCAGTAGTACAATGAGGTATTTGGTTTTAGGCTCAAGCGTCAGACTTTGAAACTTCAACATCATAGCATCAACATGCCGTTATTGGGAAGAGTTCTCTCACTTTAAATGGCATATGATCCTTATAAGGTTTCATTCTATGGCCAATATTTGAGTTGGTTTAAAATTGCATCCAATAAATACTCATTTTATGTTCACATTCACAGAGCATGAATTTGCAGTTCTTACATAGACAAAACTTCCATTCACTTTTAGGAAATTAAACACACATAGAACTGCAAGATCAGATGTTAACTTATCTCACACACACAAAATGTAGCAATTTTAGGATATGAAAAAAGACTATAGCAGGGAGATAATGATAACCATAGAACACAGCCTTGACTAGTATTATATATGTACTTTGCACTTTAAAAGGGCCAGTTTCACAAAGCTGAAAACAATCATCAACAAAACTGAATGAAAGAAAAAACTGGGCCTTAAGAAGGCTTTATTAGATGTCCCAAAACACCTACAGTTCTGAAATCACATAAGGCGACTTCTTTGATTTAAAAAACACCCTGGTTAAAAAGGGAAGTAAAATTAGCAATTAAAGAAATATATATAATACATGGAAAACAGAGGAAGCAGATAGCAATGAGTACAAATTACCAGTTCACAAACAATCAATTGATAAATGAAACTAAAGGCATCAGTGAAAAATCTATGGCCAGTAGGATTAAGGACAATAAGGAATTCTTTAAATGTTTCAGGAGCAAACAAAATCCCTAACAATGGTATAAATAAGGATGGTAAAACTAAGTAGTCAATAAATACTCCTATTCTGTATATGGAAAGTAGCAGCATGATATATTCACATCTTTCAGTGATAAGGAAATACTTTCAATTCCATCAGCAACTAGGGAGGATTTTAAATAGCAGCTATTAAAAATCATTTTTAAAATCAGCAGGACCAGATAATCTGCACCAAAGAGTACAAAAATATTGAAGAGGAGCTCTCTGAACAATTAATGTTGGTCTTAAACAAATCTTGGAACACTGGAGAAGTTCTAAAGGACTGGGAAAAAGCTAATGTTGGACCAATATTTAAAAACTCTAAACAGTATGACAGTATCCTGGAATGCAGCAATACAGAAAAGGTTTTAGTGGTTATGGTAGATAGCCAACTGAACCAGAGCTCACAGTGTGGTGTGGTGCTACAGCTAAAAAGAGCAAACAGGATCCTCGGATGCATAAACAGGAAAATATCATGTAGGAGCAGAGAGATGGTATTACATCTCTAAACCCCATTAGTGAGACCATTACTGGAGTACTGTATCCAGTTCTGGTGTTCACAATCGAAAAAGGATGTTAAAAAACTGGAAAGGGTTCAGAACAGAGTTATAGAAATGATTCAAGACCTGGAAAATATTTCTTATAGTGAGAGACTTAAGAAATTCTATTTAGTTTACCCAAGAGAAGATTAAGAGTACCTTGAGCCTACTGTACAAGTACCTACATGGGGAAGGGATTTCTGATAGTAGACAGCTCTATAATCTAGCAGAAAAAGGCATAAAGAGATCCAACTGTTCACAGCTGAAGCTAAACACATTCAGACTAGAAGTAAGGTGCAAATTGGGAGTAATTAACCACAGGAACAACTTATGTAGGGATGTGGTGGATTCTCCATCCCCTGAAGTCTTTAAATCAAGATTGAATATCTTTCTAAAGGGTACACTAAAGCTCAAACAGAAGTTATGAGCTTTATGCAGAAATTACTGGGTGAGGTTCTGTGGCCTGGGTTATCCAAAGAGGTCAGACTATTTGATCATAATGGTCCCTTCTGTCCTTAAAATGTATTAATCTATGGGTTGGAGGCTATAACATGGTGTACATATCCCTTTCTCTCCAACTCATAATTGCTACTTACTGTCAGGTGGATAAGTTACTACAAATACTTGATGATTTGAGAACACTCCTGAACCACATGCCACAGCCTCACAACACAAAAAAGCCTTTTAAAAGTGACAAGGTTGGGACCGACATGACTACAACTATACTGCATTTTAAAAGAGCTTCATTTAATTTTTTTATTAAAGAGAAAACAAACTTACTGATTTTATGCAAGGTGAAAGAACATTCAAACTAGATACATTCTGAATCTGAATTTGCCAAAAGGTAATAAGTGTCCAAAATCTGATTTACCAAAAACTGTGCATATTCTGAAGTGTCTTACTGCTTAAAACTCATTAACAACACAGGCTTCAACATTAATTGGTTGAACTGGCTTTGTTCTTGAATAGTAAACTAAAAGAACCAATAAGGATATAATATACAGCCCAACATTCTCGGTTTCATTTTAGAGCTTCTGCCCTTGCCTACATCTCTGCCATTGATTCCTCCTATATCCACTTCTCCCACTCTTGATTCTGCAGGATTTTTTCCACAGGATTTTTTCCACATTTCCTTTTCCTATGCATCTCTCCTCTGCCTTCAGATCTTATTTTAAATCCTTTTTTTCAAAATAGCCTCCATTTGCTAAACAATTACTATTCTGTCTGCTTTCATTCCTTGGGCCTCAACCTTTAATTGCCTGCACTGAACTTCTCCAAGTTAGACTGTGTCCTATTTAAGCTAAGGGATTTGTAAGGCACCTTATTCAAATAATGGGTACTAAATAAATAAAGAATAATAACTTACTGAAATTGAGGGCTACTAAAAATGTATATATATATATTCCACATTTTAATTTGAAAACATGCTTTAAAAACAAAGTAATTTTAATGAAGTGCAAAATTTCTAGCTGAGTGAATGAAGAAACGTTTGGAAAGTGATCATTATACATAGAGTATATACAATATTTCATTAATATTTTCTCACAACATGGAGCAAAATCCTATAATCAAGCAGATATTTTTCATTCTTACCCATCTGTCTCTTGAGGATGACCTAGTTTGAATAAGTTCCATGTTTTTGCAAGCAAGCAAGCGACTCCGAACTTTATACACACAGCGGTATACTTCTGCCAGGGCTTTGCCAGGCTGATATCTACAAAGAGCCATAATAGAAAAATCATATAATGTTTAATTAAAAAAAAAAAAAGAGAGTACCTAAAGATTTAAACATAGTTTCAAGTTACTTGCCTGCTCTCACCACAAGCTTGACTAAGTAAATTTGTGTGTTTCAAAAGAGCTGAAAGAACAAATCTAGACACAGTATCCAAGAGTGACTCGTTACTTAAGGTTGCACTGTCCCAATCTGAAAATAAAAACGAACTGTTAACATTTACTGGGATTTCCAAAAACTAATTCTTACTATAAAACAGCATTAGTTATGAAGTTACTTAAAATCTTCTTCCCGCTAAACATTTTGCCAATTTATAAATGGATTTAATGTTAATGAAATAAGCTAAGAGTACTGATTAACAAAACACATAATGCAACAAACAAGGGGTGGATTAAAACAAAATCCTTAGAAACACCAATGAAATTTTAAATAAATCATATTAATAATTATAGCATCATTTGCTTAAATGAGGTGTTAAGAACTAATTGAAACTAATGTTGATAGACTTGAAATATGCTTCAAAGAAGCTTTCCAGCCACACACTTTTCATTATTCTTGACTTAAAATTTTCTATTAGAACATTATGAAGATGCAGTTCTATTTCTGGGTAACTTATCTAAAGACTGTCTGAAGCGCTGTTGTAGCCGTGTTGGTCGCAGGATATTAGAAAGATATTTTTTATTGGACCAACTTCTTTTGGTGAAAGAGACAAGCTTTCAAGCTACATAGAGCTCTTCTTCAAGGGGAAGTGGAGAGGTGTTAACAGTCTTCTTCAGAGCTCTCTGTGAGCTTGAAAGCTTGTCTCATTCACCAGCAGAAGTTGGTTCAATAAAATATATTACTTCACCCTCCTTGTCTCTCTCAGAATGTGTGTTAACTACTTATGCTAAATGATGTGTTCCACCATGTATTTAGTGTGATATTCTGAGTACTTTTCCCAGACCTAAAAAAGAGTTCTGTGTAGCTTGAAAGCTGGTTTCTTTCACAAACAAAAGTTGGTTCAATAAAAGATATTACCTTGCCCACCCTGTTTATCTAAAGATTGAAATTATGTGAGTTGCTTATAATTTGACCTGAAAATTACAAATACAGAAGCTGATCAGAATACTCCAAGTCTAAATTAGGAAGAGTCCTTGCTTAAGGACACTAGTCTCGTCTTCAGATCTATCAGTGCAAAAATTGTGTCTGCTACAGAGATACTAAACTGCATTGATCAAAGCTTGAATAAAAAGAGATTCTGACTAGCAAACAAGGTTTCAAAGACATTCACTTTAGATCACTAAACTGCACTGAAATTAACCCTTCCTCATATCCATATGCCCAGGAAAGGGCAATGAAAACAACAAGATTTTCCAACCTATTTTTAATTTTTATAAATGTATAAAGTTTATAATATTGAAACACAACAGGATCCTGAACAATACAAAAGTTAATAAATACTCATAGTAGAGTAATAGCTTGCTCTGGAGTCCCAAATGACTAAATTTGACAACAGACTTAGTAACTCATGAGCTGTCTTATGAGCCTTTCTGCTGCATTTTTGAAATCACCCATATCGGTTACAGTCGTGACAATCTAAAACAGACCAGTATTTATTTTTTTAAGTATCCTTCCTCCCTTGGCACCTTTAAGACTAACAGAAGTATTGGGAGCATAAGCTTCCGTGGGTAAGAACCTCACTTCTTCAGATGCAAGTCACTTGCATCTGAAGAAGTGAGGTTCTTACCCACGAAAGCTTATGCTCCCAATACTTCTGTTAGTCTTAAAGGTGCCACAGGACCCTCTGTTGCTTTTTACAGATTCAGACTAACACGGCTACCCCTCTGATACTTCCTCCCTTGAGATCTGAATTTTTCAAACTCTGTAGATGTTTTTCAAAAACTGATTGGAAAAATGATGGTTCTTTTAAAATAGACTCTGTTCTCATGAAGATACAGCAATTTCAAACCCAGTAAAAAACTTCCAGTATGTAGATCAAAAATTCTACTATTAAAATCATTGCAAAACCAGCTATTACCCTAAATGCAGCTACTTTACAGTCTTACATGTTTCTAAAATCTCTAGGGCTAGACTGTGCATTTATAAACTGCCCTGCAAAAAGGTAGTGGGATGTACCTGTGTCATCCCAGGTGCGGCACAGAGAAGAAATCATGACCCAGCCAATCACAATTCCTTCCCTGTTACTTCCCATTTGCCCTTGGAAAAGAAAAGATGGAGAAACAAGGGGAAATGGAGAGTAATCTGTTGCTAGCCCTGACACATGTACCCTAGGGCTAGTGTGTGTGGAGAGAAGGGGCAAGGCTGCACCCATGCCCTCCATTCCTGCTCAGGAGAGTTAGTGGGCTCACTTATGTCTACACACCCAAACCCAAGGTCCAGGAAGGCCATGCAGGTGCATGTATACCAAGCCATGATCTTGCCCCCTTTAATGTTTCAGGCCCTGATTCAGGAAGTCACTTAAGCATGTGCTTAAATTCAATCCTATTCAAGATAGCATTTAAATATATGCTTAAAATTTAAGCATGTGCTTCATCCCCATCAACCTCATGTACTTAATTACTGTCTTTATTAGGGAAGCTTTCCTGAATTAGGGCCTTATTGAGAATCGCGCAGATCTTGTTAATGTGTTTTGAGTGAAATTCCTACCCCTGAAAAACTTCAGTATTGTTGCAGGTCATCTTGAGGTCCAAAAATCAAACTTCTTGCAACATTTTTATTAAATGCCCATTTTCACATCAAACAGTGACAATTCATAATTTTAAAAATTTCATTTCTCACTTGAAAAAGAGGACCATGAAGAAAATAGCCTGTTTTTGCTACAAAACAACCCTACCATCAAGCAAACCCCACAAAATCTAATATATTTTTCACAGAAGTAGATCAGTACCACAGAATCAAAAAATGTATAAACCACATTTTGAACTTTTCCAATTCAATTGCAAATATTTATACAGCCATACTTCCAATATTAAAAGTAAAAATAATCTACAAAAGGAAATGTTCACATCGATATTTGGAAACTACTTTAAATATAACAGCAACCTATTTTACAATTAGGGCCCTACCAAATTCACAGCCATGAAAAACGCATCACGGACCGTGAAATATGATTTTCCCCATGAAATCTGGAGCCCAGCCACGGAACTCCTACCCTGCGCAAGGCTCCAGCTGCAAGTCCCAGACAGGGATTGAGATTCCTCTTCCCCTGCAGGGCCTGCTCCAGGTCAGACTCACCTCCAAGATCTTCCCCGGCTGCAGGAAGCTCTGCAGCTCAAGCTGTCCCTCCCCCTCCACCCCCCACCCAGGGAGGCTGTGGCTCCAGCTGTCAGCCCCCCACTGGGATGGGAGATTGCCGAGAAAACCCACCCCGCTATATCCTATGACCTCACATCTGGGCTGCTGCCTGTGGTAGTGTTGGCTTTAGATCTGGGTGCCCAGCCAGAAGCCTTCCTCGCTGGCTGCCCAGCTCTGAAGGCAGTGCCCCAGCCAACAGAAGGGCAGAAATAAGGGTAGCAATCCCACAACCCAGCTACATAGCCTTTCGACCCCCCCCTCCCCCCTCCCGACCATCTTTTGGATCGTGACCCCCACAGTTACAACACCGTAAAAGTTCAGATGTAAACATCTGAAAATGTGAAACTGACTAATTTTAAAACTCCCTGGTTGTGAAATTGACCAAAATGGACCCTGAATTTGGTAGGGCCCTATTTATGATGTTATATATAGTTATGGAACAAAGCAGTCTTTTTGGATCTCAAAACTTATGATTAGGGCCCAGAGTTTTCCACAAAGATGGTATACACATCTTGCTGCAGACTCATGATTCAGAAGCTTTTATTTTTAAAAATAATTATGATTCTAGCCATTATGGTTGCAATGCAATAGCCTTGAAAATGTGAACTTAGCCTGGCTTGACTGAATCCGCAGACAACCTGAAAGAATAGCTCTAAGAGGTGCAAAGTGACCCATTCATCTCAGAACCTCATTGATTTCCCAGCTCAGGAATTCGTTAGTTTTCCAAAGCACCATGGATTTCAGCATTCCTTCAACCAAATTCTCCAATTTGCTGCAAGCAGATGCCCAATATTTTATTCTGTCCCCTGCCCAGCAAGCCTCTGCCTGCAATTGCTTCTTATTATCCAGCTTTCCTCACAAGAAAGTGTTACAGGATAACAGCACATACTCAATGTGCTGTTCTCTGGAGCTAGTTGGCAGGAGCTAGAAATGGAGTGTAGTTTGCAAGCGCTAAGTAAGGGCTACTAGAAATGTAGGCTGATAAGCTAGGCAATACAAAATGTCAAAAAAGTGGTACTTTTTTTTGTGGGAAACATCTGTGGAGTATTTGTTCTTGTTTATTCTTAAAAAAAAAAAAAGGATGAAATCAAAATTTTATTGACCCGCTACTACAAAAAATAGATTAATTTTATAACAATGGTTACTTCCAAATATGAGCAATTGCTGTGTCTGTTTGTGTAAGTGTGTAGTGACTGGACTGAATGGTATTACATGGCAACAAAATTTATGTTGCCATGGAAGTTACAGATTGTTGTCACGGAGTACTCAAGGCCCGGCTGAGGATGACCTGAAGCAAGCAAGTAGTTTGGCAACAGGGTTAATAGTCTGAGCACTGTAATGTCATTATTCTGCACATAAAATTATCTTCCAGGTTTACAAGATATGTAAAAGTCTTTTACTTCTGTTTTCATTTTCTTACCTTTACTAACAGCATAGTCTTGCATACTGAGCCAGAGACTACGGGCTGGCTCTTTTGTACAACCCAAGGCCAAATCAACGAAGACACCAATCTCAGGTCGCAGCTTATAATCAAATGGCTTCTGTTCCTCATTTCCAGAGAGGGCCACTTCCAACAGGGAACTCATGCATTTGTCTAAAGTAAGGGAAATATTTGGGTTTTAGATTCTGCTGATTTTGATAAGCACATACAGTCACTACTTTTTGCAAGCTATTGAAGGGGTAGAAAAAGGACAACCCAATGATCACTCCATCATCCCACAAGGAAAAACCCTATCACCCCTGCTCTTTCCATTCCTCAGGACAGGGAATCTCCCTGTCCCCAACTGTAAAGTGACCACACTGTCCAGAGGCCACCACCCATACTCAATGCCAGGGCTCAGCACCAGGACTCCTGCTCCTCCATACATTTTACAGGGAGATCCAGAAAGAAGAGTGACAGCCATCCCAGCAACTCCACAGTAGCTCTGCACGTGTTACTCCTACTGCTGTATAGTCATATAGGTTCTCAAAGCTTTTACTGTAATAAAGTAAAAACTGAGTTATCCTGCCGGTAAGTCAAAAATTCCAGTTAACTAAGAGGGAGGGAATTCGGGTGCGGGATGGGGGCCCAGGGTTGGGGCCCAGGCTCTGGGAGGGAGTTTGGGTGTGGGAGGGGGTGCCAGATCCGGGCGGCACTCACCTCGGGCAGCTCCCCGCAAGCAGCAACATGTCCCTGCTGCTCTTAGGTGGAGGCGTGGCGAGGCAGCTCTGTGTGCTGCCTCCGCCCGCAGGTGCCGCTCCCACTGACCGCAGTTCTCAGCCAATGGGAACTGCGCAGCCAGCGCTCGGAGCAGTGGCAGCACGCAGAGCCGCCTAGGCGTGCCTCCACCTAGGAGCAGCAGGGATATGTCACTGCTTCCGGGGAGCCACAAAGAGCCAGGTAGGGAGCCTGCTGGCCGTGTGCCAAGTGGACTATAAACTGGACTTTCAATTAAGATCAGAAATGCTGGTTTATAGAGCTTTCCGGTTGGTAAAGTGCCAGATAATACAGCTTTTACTGTACTTTCCTTTCACAAATTATGTACAATGATGATCCTTTTTGACAGTAAATATGAATGTTTAATGCAAATGAAATGGGAAATAGTACATCCAAGTTGAAATGATACAACTCGGTGAAAAAAGAAAGCTTGTTATTTTTTCCCTTAGAAAATTTGAAATAGTTGATTTTTCTGTTTATAAACATCAAAGCTCCTACGCTGATTAAGCACTGGAATAAATTGCCTAAGGAGGTTGTGGAATCTCCATCGATTTTTAAGAGCAGGTTAGACAAACACCTGTCAGGGATGTTCTAGATAATACTCAGTCCTGCCATGAGTGCAGGGGTCTGGACTAGATGACCTCTCGAGGTCCCTTCCAGTCCTATGATTCTATGATATGCGGAAGTTTATATTTACTTATAAATATCCAATTTCTTACTTTTTCATATTAAGATATAAATAAATCAGAGTTCAAATGGCAAACCATATAGCACAGATCTTCCTAATCCTGATTAGACATTTCAGAACTGAACCCAAAGATTTACCATATATGTTTTGGTGAAATGTTATTTCTGCTCATTTAGCTAGAATCTCCTTAAAGGGGGAAGCGAGAGGGAGGTATAGCAAAACCTAACAAAGATAAATTATTTCTTATAAGAAAGAAATATAAAGATTACACATTAAACCAAATCTTACAAACTGTATACACAATTTAATATACTACAACAAAGGAATAAATTTACAGAGCTTAACTGATGGAAAAGTTAGGCCAATATTTTAGAATACAAAAATGGTACTTATTGGTAAATTTTATTCTTTTCTTCTTCCTTTCCATCCACCCCTAGGAATCCACAGGATGAGACTTACTTCTCATAGCCAAGACCATCCTACTGTCAATCTCAATCCGGAGGCCAAAAGCATAAATTGGCTTGGAAAGAAACATGCTTTTATAGATCTGTCTACTCTAGGGATATTTTTCAAAAGTTTCTCACCATTGTTAAGACCATTCCATCAATTGCTATGATATTAGGTGTCCTAACGTAGATGCTCTGCCACCATTTTAAGTACAGTGTTTCCTAACCCTGCTTAGACCAAGTGTAACTGATACTTTACTTAAAATGGCATCACCTATACAGGGATTCCTAATATTGCTAAAGTCACTGGGAGGCACTTCAAGACACCTAAAAAATTTGCATACTTAAGTTCATGAAGGCTGGAAATTAAAGATCTAGATCTCCTACTGCCTATTCCTCCAGCATCTCCAAAAGTTTGTGAGGATGACAATACCCAGGCTTGAAAATGTGGCAACGTTAAACAACAGCAATGAAAAATTATAAAAACCTACATATAGTAATTTTACATTTAGCAATTTAGCAAACTACCTAAATGAGGAATGTCCATTTCCACTCCATCACTGAACAGTGGTGTTTTCAACCAATAGGCTGTATCCTGTTCCTCTGGGGACACGTGGGATCCCTGAAGCATTCCACCAAGACAGCGTCCAATAAGCAGAGCTACAGTTCTCTCTAGATCAACAAGCCATACCCAAGATTGGGCAGGCTGAGGTAAGGGCACTCCAGCAGGATCAATTAGTTCAGTTCCACCTAAAGCATTATAAATAATTAGTCAAAATAGATTTAATTTTCTATTCTGAAAAACAGACTAATACAAAACTCAATAATCTGACAGAATGTATTGCTTTGGCAAAATCCTACCAAAGAACATATGTATATTGCTGTAGATCCTCAGGTAACTTTTTGGGAGGTAAATATTTTAGATCTTATCATTCTCCTTGGATATGTCCAATTACTTACTTTTCCCCCAACCTTCATTGTATAAAAAAGATGGTTGAAAATACTGCAGCTTTACTATCATCTTTCCATTTATGCACTTTAGAATTTTTGGGTTCGAGTTTGGTGAGAGCAGGTACAAAAGCCTTTTTTAATTCTGCTAGTAATCTATTACTTTCATAATGGTCTTCCAATTTTGTAACTAATTTCAAAGTAGTCAGAAAACTCCTTTTGCCTCTTAGCCATTTTATTCACCTTAACACAGTCCAGAAGATATTCCTCTGTAAATAACTTTGGGGTGTTTAGTGTGACGACATTTTGTGTATTTTGGGACAATTTTAAAAATATATATATATATATTGTACCCATATGTCATCATCATCTTCACCCCATACATGGCTGAATTTCCTTCCATAAAGTTGTCTGTTGAACTGATTAAAAAATGCGATTCCACTGCTTCTAACAACTTTGTCCCATATTCCACTCACTCATGATTTATTTAAAAAAATGCTTTAGTAAAACCTTTGTCACGTGTTGCAAATAGCATTTCTCCAAAAAGCAGCAAACATGGTCATATATAATCTGATTAGGAAATAATTCAATGGTTTGCAAATAACTGTAACAACTCCCCTTCCCAAAACCCCTGCCATTTTCCCCTCCATTTTCTATTTTGGAAGGAGCATAAATACTTGACAGTATTTGTTCAGAAAAAAGTTAGTAGGTAATATTGTCTATTAAAGTTAATTTTATCCGACTCCATACCAGACAGCATTAATAATACTGGAAAGTCTGGATAGTATACTATATAACGGCACAGGAGGAATAACATTTTACAACAAAAGCACAACATTTTCATGCATTACAGACTGGGTATTTTGGCCCTAATCCTACATTCCTTGTGCACCTGAAACTCTCACTGAAGTCAAAAGGAATTATAGACATGCAGGATCAAGTAATTTGTTTGTAGTGCAAAATACTTAGTTTACAGCAAGGTATGTTAATAAATTTTAAAGGTTAGATGGGAGGGATACTGAGACATTTTGAGATTAAAGGGACACAAAATAAACAGTTTCCAATTTATAGAACATATTTTCCTATTCTAATTTTAACTTGCTATTTTCTTCTTTTTCAGATGAAAAATGTTACTTACCATGAAGCGGCCACTGTAATTCCTGATCTTCTAATAGGGCAGCAGCAGGTAACAGTCTATTAAGGCGATCAAGAGGTGGCAACAGATCTAGCAGATAACTCAATAAAGGCCGGGCCACTGACACGGGCAGTAACAACAATGAGTTAACAATCTGGCACAGCATACTGCCAGCTGCAGATACATAAACTACATCTACAAGGAAGAAAAGGGAGGGGATGTGTGTTTATGTTAAATAAATTACATTGCTTTTTAAATTCAGCAACCAAAAATGCCTTAAAATATTAAATAATTAAATACTGTCCTTTTATATTTAAATAGTTTTGGCAAGAAAAACATCCCAATTGTCCTTAAAAGTTTAATTATTCTATATGATTTCATACTGTGAAATTGTAAAATGTCCCATGAAAATCACCTTAAAAATGTCTGTCTCAAGCATATTTTATTAACAAGTGTTCATGAGACTATGATGCATACAAAACCTAATTTGTAAAGTTTTCAAAATGTACCTGTGTTGGGTTTTTTGTTTAATATACACCACCTTAAAAAATCATACTTGACTAAAATATTTTTATGAACTTTGGTCAACTATTGTTACCACTACAAGCATAACTAAAAGCACTTAGAGATTTAAATTGTCTCCTTAATTTTATCTACATTTTTACTTTAAGTACAATGTGCTATCAAATGTACCATCAGTTTGACTGCTGCATCTGTGCAATTTGTCAATTTCCCGTTTGGTCGGGTTTTGCCCCACACAGCAACAAGGGACAGAAAAACATTTTAAATGTATTGGAATCTAAGTAAACAAAAATTGTCACGGGAACTCAGAAACAATTGTGGTACCTGAAGTTACTTTAAACTCTTTTTTAATTAGTATATTTCAAGTCTGTGGTACCTCTTTAAACTTGACCTTTTTAGCAATATATACCTCTTAGTTTTTCCCCAACACTGCCATTCCAAGAACTTTCCTTAAGAAGAGTTGCAGAACGTGAATAGATATCTGTAGCATGAGGCAGTAAAAGCTGGAGGTGTTTGTGTAGCAGTGCAACACTGCTAGAATTCTGGAAACAAGAGAAACTACTTATAACAAAACAATACAAATGTATTTTAGAAGATTTCATCATGTATTAGATTGTAACTTTCAAATACATATTATTCGAATCTTATCCTATGTAGATGCTCACAAACTGAAGAGGAGTAATGTTACATTTCCAGAAGATATGACTAAAAACCCCATGTACCTCACTAACACTGTTGATATGACAATAAGCCAGCAATTGTTTCTGCAGTGAACACAACAGCTCATGAAGATGAGCAGGTTGGCTGTTTTCAGATGATGACGTCCCAAGTAAAAACTTATCACTATTCTTTTCCAACTCTCCAAAGGCTTGATCCTAGTTAGACAAAAGGAATAATCACATATTGTCCATTTTCAAATATTATAATACTCTTGGTATCTTAAAAGGAAACTCTTTCACCTCCTAACATTTACGGCTGGGATTTACAAAGGAACCCAAGAAAGTCAATGAGAACTGGGCTCCTTACTCTCTTAGGTTCCTTTGAAAATCCCAGACTACATAAATTTGGACACAATCTGAAATCACAATCACTGAGATTTTTATAGCAGTCACTGTGATTGCTGTTATACAGTCAAGTATTTCTATTCTAAGGAGGAGATTTTCAAAAGCACAAAGGGACAGACAGGCATTCATGGGAGCTGGACACCACACTCATCTTTGTGCCTTTGAAAATTTCCCCATGAACCACAATATCCAGAGATATGCAACTGGCCCTTTAAAATTTGTTATGGGCTGACTACTGACACATAAAGGTTTAGAAGAACATGTTAACACGATTAGCATTTTTCACTGTCTAATCTGGAGTGGAAGGAAAGAAAAATACTAGTTCAATTTTTACATAAGAATTCAGAAAGAAAAAAAAATCAGCAGAGTTTCAGATACAAAGTTTGGTAGGGATTCACCTTGAATCTAAACTGCTCTGGGCTTGTGTAAGATGGACAGATAGTGCACAGCAAGCTGGGGTGTAAATCTATAATGCTAGCATTCCGTGCACTAATTGTCCATGTGGTAGCAGGGTCCACATGGACAGTTAGCGCACAGCACCCTCATTCACTATAGATTTACACTCCATCTTGGCATGCACTAACTCTCTATCTAGACAAGCCCTTTAGAGAAGGCCCTTAAAAAATTAGTTTTAGTCCTTTTTAGGGGGGAAATGAAGCTGGTTGCAGGTTCCTGTTGCAGGTCTCTTGAACAAACATTAAAGGAGAAACATATAATTATTTTACCCAAACTGAAGAGAATAAATAAATAAATAACTTGATTATTACTATAAAAAATTAAAGACAAGCCCTAAACATACCGTGTAAAATCCTAAATTTCTTAGCAGAGTCTTCATTAAAATTTCAGCTAGATGAGTATCTGGATGGCTGCTCTGGACACCATATGTTTGATCAGAGAGGTTTCCATAGCCAACAGATAGTGAAGAAACTTCTGTTGCATCAGATGGTGAACTATAACCAAGTAGTGAGGCTACATGGGTATGATCTTGCAAACTCGTCAGAATAATATCCAACTGCATTCTCTAAAGGAAATAATTAGATAGGAACAATTGTTCTTGTTAGACAACAAAGTAATGAACTTTAAAAGTTAGAAATTTTTTCCTAATGCTTTAACTATTAAAATACTTGGGTAATGTAACCACCTGCAAAAAAGTTTGATGACTAGTTTTCACTGCAGATTTTCAAAGAGAGGCACTAGATAGATATACTGGACTAGACAACAGTCTAAAGCAGGGATGGGCAAACTTTTTGGCCTGAGGGCCACATCAGGGTATGGAAATTGTATGGTGGGCCATGAATGCTCACGAAATTGGGGTTGGGGTATAGGAGGGGGTGAGGGCCCTGGTTGGGCGTGCGGACTCTGGGGTGGGGCCAGAAATAGGGAATTTAGGGTGCAGGAGGGGGCTCTGGGCTGGGGCAGGGAGTTTGGGCACGGGAGGAGATCAGGGGTGCAGGCTCCGGGCGGCGCTTACCTCAAGCAGCTCCTGGAAGCAGCGGCATGTCCCCCTTCCAGCTCCTATGCGGAGGTGCGGCCAGGCGGCTCTACACACTGCCCCGCCCACAGGTGCCGCCCCTGCAGCTTCCATTAGCTGCAGTTCCTGGCCAATGGGAGCTGTGGGGGTGGCGCTTGGGTGGCTTCCCCTAAACATAGGAGCCAGAGGGGAGACATGCTGCTTCCGGGAGCCTTGGCACACATGCATGGAGCAGCCTCCAACCCTGCTCCCTGGCTGGAGCGTGGGAGCAGGGCAAGCCCCAGACCCTGCTCCCCAACAGGAGCTCGAGGGCCAGATTAAACCGGCTGGAGGGCCGGATGTGGCCCGTGAGCCATAGTTTGCCCACCCCGGTCTAAAAATACCTAGGAGAGAGAATTAACTCAATAGTCCCGTCATTCTGGGGACAGAACAGATGCTAGACTAAAAAGTCCTCTCCAACTCACTCTTCAGAAACTGTGGCTAACAAATTCCCAATGCTCTTCATAATGACTTAACAAAACGACAGTGTAAATGAAGCTTGAGCAAAAAAAAAAAAATATCAGTAAATTCGTATTATTTATTACACTATGGTAACTGTAAGGTCTAGAGAGGTTTAAATGAATGACTACAAACCACAGAAGAGAGCACACAACTTCATGAAAGAAGGTGAAAAAAGCAACTTTGAGTCACCATAGCCTATGGTCAACCTTTTCCAACTTTGTATTGTGGTTTCTTTCTCGGTACACAAGGGTTTAGTAAAAGCCAGAATGGATAAAGGAAAGAAGAATTTTGTTTTTAAACATTTTTCACTACAACATTTTGGTATACTGCTCATGTCATACAATTTAGAATGTAATAATCTTCCTTTAGTCCGTAGACCACACTACTTTTGCTAACTGCATAATCAGTGTCAGACAATTTCTGGGCATAACCAACAGTTACATTGTTATATACCGTTGGTGTCATCTCAGAGTGTTGGAAATGGATTTTATAGAGTTTTGTACGATTCTTAATGCATTAATAAATAAGTATGCCCACCATTTTAGTTTATTCTGTCTGTAACATCCACCTTGTCACAGATTATTCACTTGACTCAGTGCAGCCTTTTGAAAGCCAAAACTGCCCATTAAACTGCCTATATTTAACCCAGCCAAGCTTCACTCATCTGACTGTACAATATCTTAACTTATACTATGCTTCTATATATCTTTTGACAAATCTCATACTTGAGTTTTAATTCCTTTGACCTAAAGGTGAGAGTTGAATTAACAAAAGTATACTAATGTGGATGTACTTATGAAATCCTTTAAACCTATCCCAAAGCCCTTGTTCTGAGGTGCTCCACAGAGCTTGTCAGTATGCACTGTAATCAGTATCAATTAACAGGGGATAAGTTAAGTCATAAGGAGTAGCGAAAGCTCCAGTCTACTAACTATTATACAAGAGGTCAGGCTAGATGTCACAATGGCCCCTTCTGGCCTTATAATCTATAAATCTATGAAGATACCAGGGTTCTTAGTTTATGCTGAGCCTAATGTACTATACTTTGAGAAACAATCTTCCAGTTTTGTTAGAATTCGTACTCATAATTCTGACATCATTCTAGTACACTATATGCTCCATTGTACGCAAGTTTAAAGGCCAGGATTATCCTATGTGAATGGACCCAAATGACAGCTGCCCAATATTATTTTAAACCTAAGGCTACATCTACACGTAC